ATATCTGGGATGTGACTTCTAACAGGACTGAAGATGTCTGCATTAGGATTTAGCTGCGGGGTCTGGAAGGTGCTTCCCGTTGTTTGAGGATGATTAGGTCAATGGCTAATATATCCTCCTTGTGTAAAATACATTGAATCATTCTTTAATGTATTTAATTCGCTTTGAAATTTACTAATGTTTTCAATTTGTGTACTCTGGCTTTCTCTCAATTGTTGGAGACTTTCTTCTTGTTCATTTTCTTTCTCCTCCAACCACTGCTGTAGTCTCTCTTCTTGTTTATTTTCTTTCTCTTCCAACCACTGCTGTAGTCTCTCTTCTTGTTTCTTTTCTCGTACTTCTTGTTTCTTTTCTTTTTCCTCCAACAACTGTTGTAATTTCTCTTCTTATTTATTTTGCTGTTCGAGCTGCCACTGTTGCAAGTTTTCTTGCAACTGCTGTTGTCTCTCTTCTTGTTTCTTTTCTCGTTCTTCTTGTTTCTTTTGCTATTCTTGTATTGCTGGTATCAAATCTGCTAAGCTGTAGTTTGATTTGCCACCTCTCGTTTCCATCTTCTTTTTTTTTTTTCGTCCCACTCTCTGACACCAATTTGTTATGTCCCTGTTTGTTTCATAATTTTCAGTAGAAATTCTTTCCCATAAACTCCAACGATACAAGTCCTTTCTTAAATAAAACTAGTTTATTCTTTCTCAATACAATTTTGCAATACACTTAATTTCCACAGTCACTATAACTTAGACGCACGCTATAAATCACAACGAACGATTCACGCAATATACTTACTACCGCGCTTGACTCAATTGTCCGTTTCTATCTCTGCCTGTCTGTAATTCAATTATTTTTGCCGTCACTTCTCGCCGTCATATATATACTAAATAGAGGGCGTCTAGCAAACACTCGAGCCTTCAGGAACTTTCGAGATACTCATTACATGTTACCAGAGTCACGTGATAACATTATATTAAAAACACGTCTTTCGTCTTAGAGTTTCTGTTTTTGATAACTATGAGCTTAAAATCTTAAAATGTATTCAAAAAGTTATTTTTTTTATTAAAACTATAATTTTTGTTTCTGTATTTGTTTTACTAAGAGTATACTAATTTTTTCGTCTGCTCATACAATGTTCAAAGAAAGAAGGAAAACTGGATTTTTCTTATTATTGCTGATCAGAAGGTTAAAATTTTATATTGAATGAGTCTTAACTTGTTTGATGTTCATCAGTTATTTACCTTTACACGTTGAAGCAGCATTTTAGCCGCCAAAATAGCATAGAAGACAATTGAACAGTAAAAGCGTTAAATAATGCTTGGAGTGGAGTGGATAGGGTTGCAGAAGCTTTCAGCCAACACCACAAATGCTGCAGAAGTTCACAGCAACATGTATAATATTGTCAAGGAAAAGGACTACCTGGAAGCCATACTTGCGGAAGCTTAAGTTTGCAGAGCCCTGGTCAGATCTACATATAAGTAGTAATTTTGCATTGATAATTTTATCTATTCTCTTATACTTTATATCCATGTAAAGGAGACCTAATAACAGTCTGTAAAAATGCTAATAATGTTTTTTAATACCCATTCTTGAATAATACGGTAAAAACATGTTAATGGGGGGAAATTGCTGAAAACAGTTCAAAGTGGTGGATTTTTTCTTTACCGGTAGGAGGACTATAAGCGAAGTGTTTGGCAACCCTGCGCTGTAGACATTACAGAAATAGAATTTGCTTCATCATGGAGGATATTGTGAATGCCCGTTGTCACGGTTTGGATATTGGATTTCACTTATCAAATAATTTACTAAATGATGGACCAGATTGGCTTTCAGCAGAGCATTCGACAGGAGTGAGTTTTTGTTATCATTATCCTTAAGTGTCGTTAGTTCTTCAGCTAAGCTAGTTGTAACTCTACCATCGAAATTTTATTGTCAATGTTACTGTTAGTAGTAGTTAGGCCTATATGTGCAGTGTTAAGCGTTGCCATTGTAATGTAAAGACTTGAGTTAAACTAAGTTAAAACGTAAATACAAGAAAGTTAATGTAATGATGTTACAATACGTAGTGATTATAGTAAGTATGTTGTAAATAATACTAAGAAATAAATTTGAAGCCCAATCTATGATTCAATTTACCACTTGTTACTGAGTACTAATATTATAGTTATACTGGCTTTGGAGAATTCCACCCTTCATAGTAATTGTGGAGAAGGGCAAATCGAAAAAGTAATACTGTATTTAATATAGTTGTGGTGTGTATAAAATATTTATGATGTTTTGAAATGCTTTTTAGCCACACAGTAATATTTAATTTATATAGAAATTTCAAGAATATATAACATTGATGCTAATATTAGTAGTATATTCTTGTGAATTATTTAATTAGGCAAGATGTTTAAAACACTGAAAATAAAGTTTGGTTGTAAGTCTGTATGTTATTTTGTCTGACTTAAGTTCTTAAAAGTAAATTTCATGCTTAACAGTAACATTACTTTTTAATGTGTTACACAGGTCAAATATGTGTAATTTGCATCTGTAAGAGTCTTTGGATGTGATTTTTGTATGCTACTTAAATATCAAATTATATTTGCTATGAATGCCTAGAAGTGATAAGAAGCATATTAAATGCCTGAATTTTGGGTTATCACTTCCTCTAACCTACATCATATTCCTTAACCTGACAATTAGCATAAAAGCAATGCCCATTCTGTTGTACTGTTAGTCAATTATTTAATCTTCTGGAGTTTACAACTAATTTTTGTGAAAATTTGTTTTAAAGAATGATTTTTTAATTTACACATCTTAAATAACAAGCTTTGTGGTAGCAGTTTTTATATGCAATGCCTTATCATTCACTAATTGTTTTAGGTATATGCAAACCATGCAGTTGTGTGGAGCAGTAGGGGGGGGGGGGGGTCTGTGTAATGTTTCATTTACACTGCATGTTTGAACCAAAGTGGCAACAAGTTAAAATTAACCCTTAGAGTAGTACAAGCTGAATTATTCATGGAGTCTTCCCTGTAAACAACACCTAGCAGAACCTACCAAAGAAATGTAAATTAGATCTAAAGTGTGATGTGACATTGACATGTTAAATATACTGCAGTGTTTACAAGCACTAGCGACTGTACTAGAGTTTATATTAAATGTAATTAACTGTTAGTTTAACAAGACAATAGACACATCACATTTTAGACAAATTTTTCATTTAGTTTATTTTCATTAACCAGATAGCCTCTTTACCACATTGTAGTTTCTTTTATAAATATCAGCCTGTTCTTCATTGTTTCTGGTATCCATATCCTTTCTGTTGACTCAGGATCCTACCACCAGTCAACGTCTGTCAGAGGCAGTACAAAATTTTCTCTACAAGAAAACCATCAAGCATGTAGCTCATCCTTCTTCAGGTATTTATTCAAGGTTGTTTGTGGTGTCCAAGAAAACTGGAGAGTGGTGGACTGTCATCAATTTGTCCCACCTCAATCAGTTTTTGGTTCTACCCCAATTTACCATGGAGCTTTTTTTTTAACCCTCGGGTGGGCTTTTTATCCAGGTTTATGGATGACCAAAGTAGATGTCACAAATGCTTATCATTGGTTTTCTCACCACGAGGTAGTTTTCAATTTTGCACCCTGCCCTTCAGGCTTGCTTTGGCCTCGCTGTGTCTTTTGTTGAATGGTCAAGGCTTTTGCTTGACATATGCATGCTCGTGGGGTTTCATTTACACCATTCCATGGATGACTGCCTTTTGTTAGCTCATCCCGAACAGGAGTCCACCCAGCAAACTCATCTGCTGCTCCTGGAGGCAGCTTGTGTGGGTTGGTTAATCAAGTTACTGCTCCCTCTATTATTGCTCATAAAGTTCTATCACTTTTGAGGATGTGATCTTCTATGAAAGCCAGTATCCCCTTGGGTCATGCACATATGAGGATTCTTCAGTGGGCCCTGCACAACCGGTGGAACCTTGTGCTGGATCCATTACAGGCCCCTATTTATTGTTATTTGGGCTGGGAGTTTTCACCTACTCTACCCACTGTTCCTATTTCTACAGATTTTCTCACTTGGCTGTTTTATCAGGAGTCTTCAGTCTTCTCAGTTGTGGGTTATTGGGCTGCCTTTTCCCACACTTTTCATTTTTCCTGGTACCATAAAGTTATTACCTCTCCTACCCTCTCCCTATTGTTGTGTTCCTCCCAGATTCAGTGTTCTCCCTGGCATGTAGTCCTTCTGGATTGGGATGTCTATGTAGTTCTTCACTGCCTTACTTTGCCTCCTTTTGATCCTCTGTCCTCATGTTCATGCCTGTGGATATCATAGGTCAAATTTATTTGCCATCAATGTCTAATGTACCCTTTATCATTCCACGTATGTTCTTCTTCCCAAACTTTCAGTGGCTCGTGAGGGTAACTCCTGTTTCTCGATGATTTCCCTTTCAATTTCCATCTATATCCTCAGTCTGATCCAGACAGATTACTATGTCCCATACATGTTTTTCATTGTTAATTGCCTGCATGGCTTCCTTCCTTGGTGCCTGATCCTACCTCTTTGTTCCATGGCAGATTTACTCCATTCCTGACCGCTTTCCTTCCACCCTTTCCAATTGAGTTTGGCTTTTAATTTAACTGGCTCATATTTCCATGTCTCCTTCTTCCCATAATTTGTCCCAGGTGTCTTCTCATCAGATTAGGCACCTTACCTTTTCCTTGGCGTGTCATCTCTATCGTCCCTTGGAGAGACTTTTTCAGACAAGCATGTGGACCACACCACCTACCTTCATCTATCACTATCTACATTGGATTGCTGTTTCTTTATTGTTGGGTTATTGTCTTCCACCTGTGGCCACTCTTCAGACTTCAATGAGACTGTGACTGGGTAAGTTATCTTTTGTATACCTCTTATTTTTCAGGGGCATTTCCTTTTTTTTTTTTTCCTCTACAGAACTCGTTCTGCGGTGAGTAGACAAATCCACACTGTCAGGCCATGTTGACTTCATATTTATAATTTCCATGGCCATTCAACACACACTGTTGAGAATGGGTGTTTTACAAGATTGCTTGTAGGTTTTTCCTTTCAATATTGACTTGTTTCATTAATATGTTCATTCCAGACTGTACTCACCCACAGGCTTTATGGCTAAAGCAGAAGGGAATATCTTCCCATTCAATTGAATAAATCAGGTATGGTCTGGTTTTCGTGGTCACCAGTTGCACTGTCTCCAGTGTTGACATTCCTCCAGACTCTTCACCGTGTTTTCTCCCTTTTTTTCTTCCAGTGGAGTATGGGAATCCTTACCACTTTCCAGTTCAAAGCTGCTGGGATGGTGGACCATGGAGGCACCCTTCTGAATGTGATAGTGATATACAATACAAACAATGATGAAACCATTTAGTTGATAGTAGGGCAATGGTGTTGTAGAGATGTCCTCCAGTCTGATGCTCCATCTCTGTATATCTGAGGAGATGTTGTAGCTTTGGAGTGAGCCTTCATAATTGCAGTTCACCCCTTTGATTGGGATCCCTTATCCTTCCTCCAAATTGATGTTGGTTCCCAGGGGCTGGGTTTTGGATTCAGAGCTGAACCAATCAACATAAGTACTCACACATGTATTAGGCCTGGTATGGCCAGGTGGTTAGAGTGTCTGACTTGCAATCTGAAGGTCACGGGTTTGAATCCCTGTGCCACCAAACATGCTCTTCCTTTCAACCTTGGAACATTATAATGTGATGGTCAATCCCACTATTTGTTGGTAAAAGAGTAGCCCATGAGTTGGTGGTGGGTGGGGATGACAAGCTGCCTTCCCTCTAGTCTTACGCTGCTAAATTAGGGATGGCTAGCACAGATAGCCCTCATGTAGCTTTGCACAAAATTCAAACCAAAGCAAACCACACAAAGTATTACAGGTGTCTCTGTTTCCTCACTTAATTACTCTACACTCTACCTATGTTGTGAGTCACTATGGTGGTACTTGTGATTAATAAGGTTCTTCTTCTTATGTTATCCCTCAATGATTTTCATATACCAAGGACGTTTTTGTCCTGGGGTGGTTCCTGTCAGGATTAGTTTTTTAATGGGTTCCCAGATCAGTCACACAATTTTTCATATTGCTATCATATGTCCCATTCACAGATCGGTGGGTATGAAATTTCCCTCTGGTCTGCTGAACTTGAGGTGAAGATGGTATGATCCTCTTTCCTCCTCCCACATGGATGTCAATTCCCAGT